ATAATACAAATAAGAAAAACTTTCTAAACCTCTAGATTGCAACACTTTATAATAGGTAATTATACAAGGCGAAAAGAAATTGACTACTTCCGGAGATATCATGAATAAACTTATTCTCATATAGCTAAATAGATACTTTGTGTTATAAATATGATAAACTGCAGTTTTATTTCAGATAGAATAAAATAACAGTAAAATCGCTAACACTATAGTGTATTAGTGAAGACTGGCGTTACGATGGAGGGATACTCGTTTATTTACTGTCCTATAGCTTATATTAGTTAGGATTAGTTAAGGGGATGTTAATTCGACAGGGTAGTACCATGGCAGCAGTACTGTACGTCTAATTGTCTAAGCTTTACAGCGAAATATCATAGCAAGTTATATGTAAAATATATTCCTACTGAAGATATTTGTGAGAATATTAATTGATTTATGGAGTAATTATAAGAGAACTTCGCAAATTTACAGATAATCTCATCAAAATTTAAAGACATCTACTGTAGCAATATATATCTAAAATAAACGTATATTCCTATAATACTATGCAAGTATATATTATCAATAGTTAGCTATTAATTACACTATCATTGATTGAACTGTGTAATATTAAATTTTTTCGTTCGACTGATTATCTTAAAGCTGTAAATTGTAAACTCTAGCTTTACTGATCGCTGTAAACTACTGTATAGAAGAGAAAAATTTCAATTACAAAGTCTCTTGACCATAATCTAGCCTATTCACGTTTCAACGTAGGTAAACATCGGTGGATTGTAACGAAATGAGCAGCACTAGGTGATAAATGTAACTGCAATGGCTAGCAACGGTCCATAATGATTTTAAAATGCGGTTATAATATTCTATTCCTTAAAACTTTAATTTTGCTTGACTATAAAATAAAGTTACTTGGCATCACTAACTCGACTGCAGCAAATTATGATAATAACGAACAGTTATGCGTTATTAGTTTTATGATAAGTAGTTTACTGATGTCACAGTTATCTTCGACTACCGATAGACTTACCTTACTATAGCGTAAATTCCATCAGAAAGAGCTAAATTAATAGTTAAAGCATCACTTAAGTTAAGATTATGTGCTTTTCTTCCGATAGCGTAACATAAGATTCCATTTCCAATACAGCTGAGTAGAGTAGTAATTACCAACAAGACCAAAAATACGATAGCTGTTTCTCGCGGATAGTAAAGATCGGAGTTAGATATATTTGTGTTTAGAGAAGAGTTCATCTTCAAAGATATCTTATTATCGGTATTAAAATCGCAACACGAACTATCTCGTTTAATATAATAGATGTAATAGGATTTTAAGATCGTAGCCGTCACCGAGTGGTGGAAATAGATATTTTTTCTCTCTCTTCTTTAGGATCTATTACATTGGCTTAATATTATTTACTATTTATGACCTATCATAATTCAATATCATAAGTTGTTATAAGAATTGGAGACATGCGAAGTACTTGAAAGTAAAGAATTTAATATAATTATTAAGTAACGTAGTTACCATTACAGTATAGCATTATTATCATTTTACACATTCAATATTCTTTTCAAAGTCGTAGGCAAATAACAATTAGTTTTAGATGGTTTAGATATATGTAGCTGTTTCTACACAATTGTATTTTAAATTGATGTTTAGTATTAATTTATTTATTTATAATTGCCGTAATGACGCTATTGTAGTCGATGGCCAATAAAAATATTTCCTTTTCAATTTTTCATCATTGTACATAACATAGTTTCGTCCTTTACTTTATCGTTATTGTAATTAGTTAATAACGTAAAACGAAATTATTTTATGCCTTGATAGATGATTGAAACGAGCATTAAATAAACTAAGATAATAATACCACACTAATCTTTTCATTACGAACTGAAATGAAAGAATTGATTATTTCTAATGATTACTTTTAAAAGACTGACACGTGCAAACGTCTTACTGTTTATCGTTTATTAATTATAAGATTACCCAGTTACAATTCCTATAGTTTGTATTCTTTCCGGAAGAGAAATGGATATAAGTAATTGTATAAAATTTATTTTAGATTAAAGGTAAACGAAGGAGGTATTAGATTTGTACACAGGAAATGGAAATAAACTCTAAGATTAATTATTGATCGATTAGCTCGTAACATACATGAAAGCTGATGGAGATTATTCTTAATTATGTAGATCCTATTTAAAGGACAACTTTAATTTTACAAATTATGATTAGTCCGTCAACCTACTCAGGTCGTTAAAACTATTACCAAAATTTAAATATATAAGACTCATGATTACAGTCACTTTCGTCACCATTGTACGTAAGGCTATTAGTAGGACGAATTGTAAACAGATATTGTAAGGTGTTACTGTAAAATTTCCCTTTATTAGTGATCTGAATAGCCAGTTAATTTTCTTATAATTATTAAACAACTTAGTTGATCCAACTTATACGTGAGATCATCTGATTTTTGGTCGCTTAAATTTATGATTAAAATTCAAACAAGGTATGAAATCTTTACTAATATCGCTATTAAAACATTGAGCATCTATTTGACTATTTGGCGTTTAGATTGAACGCTTCTAACGGAATATTTATTATTGCTTCCTAGAAAAATAGTCTCTTAGTGAACTTTTCATAGTAGTCACCGAGTTGGCCTCAGCAAATTAGAAAAGAATTTTTTAGTATAGCAATATCAAATTTGAAACATTCTTTTTCACGAATACGATACTCTATAAATCGGTTCCAGCTTGGTACGGTAACGTAAACAGTATCACAGCTCTGGTAGATATAGTAATGTACAACAGTATTTCCGCTACCAATATAACAATAAAACTTCGTCTAATGAATTTTAGTTTAGGCAGTATATAAATATGAGACAGGAGTTGATATCAAAATAGAAAAATATTGATTTTGCAAACTACAATCATACTTTTGCATGAGTATTGTGATCAAATTAAGGTATAATTCAGGAAAAGTTACTTCATTCCTTAGTTTGGCATCACCACTATCATTGCTATATTTGATTTAAAGCTCCATACTTTGTATGTTGGATTTTGCTGAAAAATTTTAGCAGAAGTTTTGCCTGACCCAAAGTTACTATCTATTTTTGCTTTTGCAGATGAGATAGTACTATCGGTGTATTTGGAATTGGATGTAATTGAGTCCTTTGCTTCGATTTTAACTAGTGAGTTTTTAGTATCTTTTGTAGTTTGATGGCTATAAATGTTTACAGATTGACTTTTTTTATCAATGTCAGACAAATCATATAAGTTGTTATTCAGAAAGGAAGATTCAGCAAACTGAATACAGGAAACGTCCAAGCAATACTTTCCAGCACCAAAAAATACGATATGGCATTCTTGTTCAATAGTTTGAGCAATTTTTAACTGATTTAAAGAGATAAATAGAAATTAGAGCTATAATAAAATTTACGGCAGCATTATTAGGCGTTATCAAGGCCAAAAGCAGTCTTATACCTCAGGAACAACAAGGTGCTCAGTTCCAACTACCGCACATTTATCTAATAGCTGGGTATCGTAGTAACCATTTTCGTAATCTTGGTATGATTCGATCGTAATACAAAGATTTTGCAACGGTGAGCCTAAATCGTAACGATTAATTAGTTTAGTATAATACCGTAAATTAATTATCAAAGCACTCACCAGAAATGTTGGTTATGACGGCTTTCACAGATACAGTACTTCCAACAGTAAAAGAATCTTGCACTTCACTGCTAATTGGTTTATCGTTTACATGCACATCTGTTAAAAATATAGTTATAATACATAAAGATAAATGACGTATCGCTTTTGATAAACAACCATTAACTAACCTATTTTTACTGGAGCCAAGGTAATTCTGTCAATCATTCCTAAAGTTAAATGGTTTGAATTAAGTTGAACTATTCCGGATTTTCCGCAAGAACGCTATGTGCACACTATTAAGGATCAAACGAAAAACTTTAAAGACAATAGTACTCCATAACGGACTCATTAGTAGATTTTTCTGTATAACTTATAGGATACAATCCGCCATCTTAATTCTATAGCATCGGAGAGCTTCTTTAAATACAACTTTTCTTTTAATAAATTTTCCTGATTAGAAACTTTCGCTATTTCAATTTTTTCGATAGAAATCGCAACACTGCGGAAAAAAAGGCAATAAGAGCTCCTTTAAATTAAATTGCACAAATTGCAAGGTTTTTATTTACCACAAGTACCACATGTAATAGTTGGTAAACTAACCGTCTAGCTGCCCCTTTAGGAATAAGTATGTGAGTCGGTTTACCAGTTTTAGTTACAGTCCAGTAAAATTCGATCGAGAAAGTGGTTAAGTTTTCGACATCGAACACAATTAGGCACTCATTGCAGCTAAAAAAATTCAAAAAATTACCTATTGAGCTAGTCGTAAATGGCGCAATACTTGAAATACCAAGTAAAATATATTCACACTATAGAACAATTACCTATCGTCGGATAAAACATCAAAATTTAAAATTCTTACAGAAGGTTTTATCGTAATATTAAATACAGCTTCAATTTGACGACAGTATTCATTGTGAATGATGCCTCCACTGTAAGTACATTTCAATGCGGAGGTAATTTTTTCTGTATTAACGTCGGTAACAGCTGCAATATCGTTATATGGGATATTTAATGCAATCGGTAATTTTATAGTCTTTCTCTGTTGGCATGGTAACTTATGTTCCAGATCTTCATTACACCAATCGAATAAGGTAGCACCACCTATTACAAATATAGTAGTCGGCATGAATGTAAAGTATTAGTTTTAGTTATTAAATCCTTTGATCAGGGCAATACAATTGTACTCACTGTTACTGCTGCTATTAACGACTTGTAGATTTAAGAAGTTCACATCGATACATGATACGTTCTCGAAAATCATGTCGAAAGGATTTCTATTGAAAAAATCTATCATTAGCCGTTCTGGTACTCTTAAACTTTTGATGGGTAAAAATTTATCTTTACCTTTCTCCAGTATAAGTAGTTAAATTTGTAACCAATGTTTGGATTTCATTTGATGTTGTAACTACAAAACCAGGTGATAATGTGGACGAAATACGTATCAGGGGTAACGCAGGTATAACGTCAATTTCACGACGCAAGCTTTCGTTGCAGAATGTTGACGTGCATAAGCTATTTAGTCCAAAAACTTGGCTGCTGTAGCCTAAAATATGTAATTTGCCTTTGCTACATGGAATACCAGTTAACATCATAGACACAGGCTCAGATTTTGGAGGTAGTGCAATAGCCGCCGGATGGGGATCGAAAGCAATATCATCCACTAACAGTGTCATCTTGCTAACCTTCACTTCAAGAGGCATGGGATTAACTAGTTTTATTTCAACTCTAAGAGTTTCATTTTGAATTGTAATTGGGATTTCATCGGTTTTTCCTTTAGTTGATCGTTTCTGTAGTGCGGAGAATATGAAGCAGTTCTGATTATCGGAATCAGTATTTGCTAACATCTTAACAGGTCGCAATTGGGTAGGAAGTGGGACAATAGTAAATTGGATAATACAGGGAAACATTGTCATTGCCATTGGTTGGCTACCGTAATTGCGATTAAAAGTAAATTGATACGGGCTTCCAGTGATATTTTTCGACTGCATCTCAAGAAGGGCACAGTAAGTTTGTTTATCCGAATCACTCAGTGAACTATCCATAAATTGTAAAATAAAAATAAGAAGTCGGGAAGCAATAGCAGGATCATTAAGGTGTCTCGAACACATTATTAATTCCTTTAAAACATGTAACTGAAGGGCTGGCCAACCAGATCTATCCTTAGCACATAATTGGAAATCAGGATGTAAGTTATACCCTTTCAAGGCCTTTTTCATGAGTGAATATACAGCAATCCAAGGATGATTTGTAATATTTCTCGATAAACACTGCATTGATGCTATACGAGATATAAAAGCAGCTTTTCGGCCAAAATTAATCTTTTCATAAATATGGCTAACAAAGCAATAACGTTGAATTTTTTGCTCTTCGCTCAATGGATAGTTGGTATATAAGATTCTCATCAGCGTTTCTGATGTCTCTACTTTTTTATCTGCAGAAGCCAAAACATTGGCTAACTTGATATTAGCTTCTAATTCAATTAACGGTGCAACATTGATCCTGTTATAAATTTTAATTGCTTCTAGATATCTTTCAATAACGTCATTCGTTGATAATAGGTTAGCATTCAGCGAAGGTACAGTTGCGACAGCGTTATCATCTTTGGTCGCTACAGCATTAAAAGATGGAGATCTTCTACCTTTACCTTCAGGTAATACAGCAGCACTCCCAGGAGTAAGGACGTAGTCTCCACCTTTTAAAAATTAGATATCTGTATTACTAATATGTTGATTTTTTATTAGTAAAGTATAAGAGAAGTAAAGTTTATAGCAGGTTACTGCATTTTCAAATATCAGCAATTGTATTATATCGAACGTTTTCAAGCAAATGAACGACTATGCGTGCACATTATGAGTTCAATTATAAAAAGTAGCAATGACTGATCTGGTAATACTATATTCTAACTTTTTATTGATAATTTGAATGGACTATATCCCAGTAGAACTTGAACTCTTATCTGAATGCCGCAATCGCAAAAGTACTTTACTGTTGATAAAATTTGAAAGCTCAAGCTTTCATACGCTTTGGAGAAGATAGAATCATGACAGTGTATGTGTGCATGTGTAATTGCAAAAGAAAGAACGCAACTAAGTGGTCAAGATAAAGAGTATGATTGGTTGTTATTTAGTAGATATCGGTTTTAATAAAATGCAGAATTAATAGTTCCTATACACTTGTCGAATATAATACCCGTAGAGGGTAAAAAAAAGAATACCTCTATACATATAGTATTACACTATCATAGCTAATTTAACGGGGACAGTATTTACTTTTGCATATGATGGTAGCAGCACAGATGCCTTCTAATGCGCTGGCTAGCCAGAGTAAATCATTTGCAGAGCGTAGCCCATCGACAGCAGCAGCATAGTGGCTCAAGGCATCATAGGATAAATTGGCCAGTAAACATAAATCACCGAGTCGCTTTTTATTCCTGCCAGCACATTTCTTCTTATAGCCGCTATTACATATTTGACAAAAAAAAGTTGCACGGAATAAAAAACAATCTAAGTTAAAATATACAATACTTCCTATTTATTAAATAGCTTTGAATATGTACGTAAGAGACACAGGTGCTACGCTCGATTTTACGACAACGCAACTAAGCACTTTATCATTCAGTATAGAATAATATTTGAATTGGGTGATGGAAAGGTTAATAAGTCGTATTAATGATATACGGTAAATGATGATAAAACAAACAATCTTCTACTACGTCGAGATCATATTACACTATCGTACTACATTATCAAGATAATCATATTGTTATTTCTGTAATGTTGCTATCGATCAGGTAGAAGTTGACAGACTTACCTTTGATATACATCGAAAACATTTCTGTTGCTGTCCGTTCTTGTATCATATTAAAATAAATTACATCAGTACAGTAGAATATTTGAGTATACGCGTATACCAATTGATGTCTATTGATATCATTACAGTATAAGAGAAGAGGAGGAAATCAATTGTTGACAAATGACTGATTACTATTGCGCTGCGATTGTAATTGCTAGCGTGACAGCAATGGATAACATTGGTTTGCAATAGTTTTACCTATCATCTTGAGATCCGCTGTCATTTTCTAATGATATTTTTAACATAGTCATTTTATCAGGCTTTTCATTCAGTTTTTCGACACGTTTAGAGTCCAAGATCCAGAATAGAGATGCACCAAATTCAGGTATTGCAGTAGATAAGACATGTTGATAGTTTTGCAAATTGATGACAATCGCTTCAGTTTGATCAGGTAACGATTGGTCAGTCATAATAATGAAACGACTATCGAATAAAGTTTCAGAATATTGGGTAAGCGTATCTTGAAATTTTTGGTTTAGTTGGGCAAATTGGTCATTGGTTTTTGTTAAATCGCCTATGCAAAATAATCCTAGAACATGCTTATGCATATGCAAGGTGCCCCAAATACGACTTTCATGAGCATGAACATTTTGAACAAATTTAAGTCTAACTACACGATTGGCATTGGGTAGGCTAACACGTTGATAACGGCTACGCAACAGCGTATAAATACGTTGAAATTGTTGACGAGGAATATTGCCCACTGGTAGAACTAAAACTAACATACATCGATGATCAAATGTCGTTTGTGAGAAGTCAATGCCTGCCATGATGAGGTGATGATCGCCCTTTTCAAGGTTGATTTGTATCTCTTGACTCGTACACCACTCCAATGATACAGTAATATCAAGAAAATAACATGCTGGAAAGCCAATTTACCTTGACTTTGACTGAATTAAACATGAATGACAAGATTTCAATGTTATCAAATCTACATAAGCTGTACTAGAGCGGCTAACAGCTACAACGGGTAGACAAGAATTACTGCTCAATTGGTAATAATCTCGCAGGCGGATGATTTGACGCTGGTGATTTCGATCCTTGTAGTACCGTGTGGTAGTAGTGTGTAGTATGTGTGGAGTACAGTAGTAGGCTTGTACCTGAGTGCTGTGAAGATGTTGTCGGCTATAGAAGTTTTCTAATACTGTATCTCTATGGGAACTGGACAGTACTGGTACTGTGAAGAATCAAGATATTGTCGGCCATAGAAGTGCGCATACTCTGTATGGGAACTGGATAGTACTGGTACTGGTACTGGTTCTACTGGTACTGTAAAGAATCAAGATATTGTCGGCCATAGAAGTGCGCATACTCTGTATGGGAATTGGACAGTACCAGTACCAATACCAGTACCAGTACAGTGCTGTGAAGAATCAAGATGTTGTCGGCCATAGAAGTTTTCTAATACTCTCTATGGGAACTGGACAGTACTAATACTAGTACCAGTACCAGTACCAGTACAGTAGAGTGCTGTGAAGAATCAAGATATTGTCGGCCATAGAAGTTTTCTAATACTCTCTATATGGGAACTGGACAGTAGTACTGTGGACGTTAGCCAGTTTTAATGAACGAACGTACGAACGTCCAATTTGAACGTCGGACGTTCATTGAACGTACCAACGTACACAGTGTACAGTGTTAACACTACAGTATATACATAGTGTACACTGTACAGTACGGTATAAGACTACTGTAAACTATACACTGTACTGTACGTAACAGCGTACAGTATACTGTAGTCATGACTAGTACTGTGGACGTTAGCCAGTTTTAATGAACGAACGTACAGTACAGTACACAGTGTACAGTGTTAACACTACAGTATATACATAGTGTACACTGTACTGAAAGTGTTTGTAAAAGACGTTTGTACTACTGTACTGTACTGTATAAGAAAGTCTATGGCTTACAGTACTGTACTGTACACCAACGGTCTCTAGCCTAGTCTGTACTGTACTGTACACTAATGTAGATAGAGATAATCCGGCAGCACTGGCACTCGATTGATATACTGTCAAGCAGTTCATAACGATGGTATCAACCCCCCCCCCCGCCTATTACGCTTTGGTCAGGAGCCAACGTGGCTTGCAGTCGCTAGTTGACAGTACAGTACTATAGGCTTTAAAGGCGGAAACACTGCAATGACGTAGCACTACCATAGCTGATCAAAGCTGAAATTAGAAACGAGGTTTTTGGACCATTGGTTTGATTATTTTGCGTGTGTTCGAGAATTGATGGTATTCAAACTATTTCAAAGTGCAATGCGTTTCGCAATCCTATGCGTAGAGTAGATGTGAATACACTGTACTGGAGCGATCACAGGCCACACCACTAATACAGTATACTGTACTTGTACAATATTGGATAATTTCATAAATAATCAAGCCATCCAAACCGGAAAAGCCATAACAGCATCTTGAAGCAGAAATAGGATGAGAAATAGGTTATGCTTGTGCGTTTACGCCAGTGGAGCGATTGTGCTTGGAATGGGCATTCAGTATGATTGGAGATTTCTCTATAATCTACCGATATACAGTGGTGTTGCTGGGAGATGGAAATACATGACAACTTTGAATTTCGTAAGTTTCAACAGCTCAAGTTTCCTACCGCTAGTGATAGATTCCAACTCATTCATTCATTCATTCATTAACCTCCTAGTGAAGCAGTACCGCACTGCATTATTAATTCAATTCAATGGTCAATTAGGAGCAACCGCAAGTACAGTAGTAAGATTCATTCATGAATTATCACAACTCTATTGCAAATGGAATAGAGCATTCTTAATATTTTGGCGGTGCTATATAGTAGTATAGTTAGTATATTGTAAACGCTTCCCAATTTCGATGGTAAGTTATGAAATAAAAAAATGTATAATGACGTATCATTCATTCTCTTTTCATTTTCTACTAGTTTATTTTGAGATTTACAAGCGTTTACAATATGCTTCCTCAACCACATGATGATGACGTCAATTTCCTCTAAAAAAAAATGGAAAGTGAAGTCAGGAACGGGGAAGTAGCCTGTGTACAGTACAGTACTGTACACTGTACAGTGTACAGACTGTGCGACAGCTTCACCCGCTCTCCTATCCCACCCCACCCCCCGGCGTACATAATATACTGTGCTGTACAGTGGATACTGGGTAGTGTACAGTATACACCAAACTCCACTGACTCCGTGCAGCATATTTAGCCTTATTACTTGTATCATAGCCGATCGATCTATAGAACAGGGAAGCAAGCACGATGAGAAATAGTTTACTTTTATGCTTTTACGCCTTTATGGCAGTTGTGTTTGGAATTACGGCAAAGTATGATTGGGATAATCTCTGTGATATGCCGTCTCGCAGAGGATATGCTAAACGATGGAAGTATCTGACTGTATGGAATTTCGTAAGTACCCGCGATACTGTAGGCAACTCGACAGCGTGCCAATCCTCAATTTGCCATGTTGATATCCGTGACAGTTCATTCCTTTTTTTATACTTCTTCTTTCCGCTTCCGGTATGCGGCTATCCATAAACTATCAATAAATCCTTGATCCATAAAGCTCCAAAGTTTGCTTTGTTACTTTATGCTAACATTCCCAATTGATCCCGAATTGAAAAAAACTGAAATGATGACAAGATTATTGCTCATGGCTCGATTGCTTGATACTACCACTTGTTGATTTGAATTGCTCAAGTTACCATTAAAGTGTACAATGTTAATTGACTGTGATGCGTACACACTACTGCGCAAGACTACTTTGACGTCATCAATCCTCTCGATCCCATTTAGCATGGGTCATTCTTTCTTCCTTTTTAGTACTCCCACTACATCGTGCCCAAACAATACTGTACTCTATAGGGCACAGTAAGCGAGTATGGTCTAGTTGAGGCTGCACTAAGCCAAAATCGGACATCTACCTTGAACCATACTGTCTTGGTTGTCCTCATATCGAGCCACGTGGTATCGTCGGCAAGAGGTCACCCACACTGACATGACCCCTATGCCTTGACCCAAACTATCCATTTTTGCGGGACCTGCAAATATGGCAGTCTGAATGGTTGGCACGGTACTATTGTACCGTCGAGTCGAGTCTTTCTCCTATCCACAAATAACTCCTTTGATGCATTTATTATTGGAATGATTTTATTAGAATCATTACTGCAATCCTTTAACCCAAAGTATCTTGATATCAATTGAATTGATTGAGAATCACCGAAGCTTGTTGATAATCTTTGACCTCCGTACCGAACCTTCTTGGTGTTTTAGCCGGTATCGAGTTACTTCCAAGTAGATTAAGAATCATTTAGTGGACAGTGAAGCCTGATTGAATAATCGATTGTAATGGAGAGAGTAGTTTGGTTTTTATTATATCTAGTCTTTGCAAGTGTATACGCTTATTCGTCGTATTCTTCTCGTGCATTTATGGCGGATCTGCCTATCGCTAAAGGATATGGTGGCTTGTACAAATTTTTAACTTCATGGAATTTGGTAGGTTGTGCATCAATGCAATACAGGACAGTATAGCCTATCTTGGCAATAGATTATATAGTGGAAATGCGTTTGTAAATTACTCGACTGTACTGTATAAACAGTTCAAGAAACAACCTCATTATGCCTGCATGCCTGGGGTGCTAGTGCTACGTAGGCTCTATTACAATTTCATTGATGATGGATTGTTGTTATTTTTACGGCCACATGCACTGATGGAAGACAACCAATACCATCAAGGAGTTGATTTGTATGGAGATAGACTAATATTTTGATTGACACCAAATGATAGGAGATAAAGATTAGATTAGCATCGAGTTTAAAATGATCTTGATCTATTTTTGATACGTTGCTAAAAGCTAGAATGAGCTGCAATATCGAGTATAGGATATGCGGATATCAATTGACTTCGATTACAAATGACAATGCGTAGTCATCATTCATAACTGGATTGACGTACTATTGCACTTTCTATTCACCTCTGTCAATTTTCCTGTAGTAGTATTTGCAATTACTGTATCTGATACTATGACAGTTGAAACCAAACAGGGTAAAAATCCTATTATATCAAATTCACTGTCCAATATTAACATATGCGATTATGGACGATTATTATCCACGTTAGATGCATCGTTGTCTTACAAGTAAGGTACAGAATGATTCATTCGCTTGTAATTAATACCAACCTAAGGTAACGCACTCAGAGTTCGATAATACATTGAAATGGTACAGTAAATTTAAGATAGAAGATAATGGCTTGATTGCATTCTGTCGTAATCAGGATCAAAGGACAACGTCAATTATTATTAAATTATGGCAACAAGTCATTAGGATAATAATAATAAAATGGCACCTTGCTAGAGGAGTATTTGCATTCTTGCAAACTTCTAACTTTATAATTATTCCATTGTATGTCTAAGCATATTCTTTTCTTCTTTAGCATTTACAAACACTGTATTACTATTATGCCCTGCTGGCTACTATGTACGTGCTCATCAGTAAAGCTGAAAGAAGTATTTTATTAACAATAAGAGATTATATATTTGGTGCTCTGGTTTTTCCGATTGGCATGGTAATTTCTTTTAAATACAACCAATTGTAATGCTATATACATCGTAGTTCTTGCCAATAAATAAATAGCGTATAGATTTATTAAAGTACTAAAAATTGCCTTAGTACTTTATTTCATATACGTGTATACGAAGTAATTCATGATCTGTAGTTTCACAAGTCTGGACGTAATTGAAATGCTTATTTTCTGTTATATCTTGGATAGTACGTTGGAGTGATATTTTGGGCCATGTATAACTTCGACCGTGAAGTAATTTATCCTCGGTCATTGGATCAATATGTTCCAGTGGTGATCAATCATGTCTGGGTAAAATAATCGACACAAATACTGAGATTTTAATGTTACAGTTACAGTATTAATGTTCGATTATATCGTATGTGATATAGTGACATTCTTAACGCTACATACCTTTCAACCTGTGAGATTTCTTAGAAAATAAATGTATTCGACTTTGCTTAGTGTTTGGCGTTAGTATAGATTAGTAGTTTTATTTTATTTTCGATACATGTGAGTAAAGTGTGATAGATCAATTGTGATACTTATTGAGTTTATTTGCTTACATATAGCATACTGCTGTGTTAGTATTCCCTATAATTGAATCACTGCTTGTAAGACATGACAAGTTTCCAAGTCGTTCAAAAGGTTATGTAGGATTATTCATATTCAAGCTATTTTATTTGATATGGTGAGTATGCCTTTTGCTACTATTGCGCAACGTATAGATGTAGTTATAAATAGAACGTCTTATGTTGGATAGGGTTTTCTATATTGGATTATATCATAATCTATGGATATATCCGTTTATGCGAGTGATGAACAACACTCAATTTACAATATTTATACTGGTGTCAATTATTATCGATGCTGCTTGTTTCGAGGTTGGATACCGTCTAAATAGGGTAAAGAATCCTGGCAATGAAGGTAGGACTCGTTACTGCAGTACTAGTAGACATCAAGTGTCATGAGCGTCTTATAGTTATAAAGTTAAAATTGTGTCCGTTAACAGTATAATTTATCATCTTCATAAATAACAGGATCCACTGCAGAAAAGGTTAAGGGACAATAACACCTTGCGATCAAGTACGATTTAGCATCCGGTATTGGCCGCAAGAATGATCCATTCTCACCCATTGAGCATATGACTATGTTAAATTATATGTAATTGATGATGACAGTGACTGTGTTAATAGATAATTTTATAATAAAAGTTAACTAAATTTACTATAAAGGCAATGAACAAATTGTTTTATTACATGAATATTCTGAAAGTTTCAAACTTATTATCGCCATGTATTATTTAGATGCATTTTATCAAACTTACTATTGTCAGGTCCATTCTTGATTGAATTTTGTCAAATCGCCATTATATCCATTTGTTCAGTGTACGTAGAATAGCTAGGCTCTTGCTTATTTAGATTATTCCATCATGACAATTACGTCATGTGTCAAGAGTAGGTCAGTACGTACAAAAACATTCAAGGCTATTTCTTAACCAACAACATAATTCGTATTTATTGGATACATTCTTGTAATAACCTTGATAGTGGAATAGGTCAATTTGTAATGCCAGCGCTTTCAATTCTACGATGGGATGATTGACATCATCAGCGAATCGTGTAATTATAGCATTTTAGACAGGTACATTTGTCATGGCTTTTTGATAAAGTTTCGCTATGCATAATATTCATGGGCTTGTAAACGTTTATCATGTACGCATAAATTAATAAAATCAGTAAAAATAAACCTAGGTGTACGCGAATTATGAACGTATATGAAAGCCACAATTTCCGTGCTTATTAGTGGGAAATATTTACTAGGAGTAATTTCATCCCTCATCATTGTCGGAATTCTGAATGTCTGTATGTCCGTATTTAGTTTCTACAATAGACAGCCATTAGAGTAACGATTGGACAGCTGTAGAGTGTTTGTAAGCTAGTGAGTAAAGGGTTAGAAAACGTAGCTCTACTTTTACATCTCCAACTTCTGCAAGTAGTACTAAGCATTTTATAAGTTGTTGTCGACTTTATTGAATAAATCGACACTCCAATTCTACATTATAGGCAAACTAATTTACTTATCATTTATTTGTAGGGAATAAGCAGTTGTTATAGCCTCAAATATTCGTCTTGTACGCACATTTATTCACCTATCTTACTACATAAATCAAATTGAAACGATGGCAAACCCTAACTCTCAATCGCCACTGTTATTTCATCTGATTTGTTTCACTCTATATTTTGGTGCTTTATTGTATGATATGCTATTTCTTCCTACCTTTGGACTCCGAAAGATTTATGGGCACAGGTGGAAATTTTTAACAATTTGGTGTTTGGTAAGGTTACATTAAATTTTTGATGTATATAGGTACTTTTAAACTGTATCATAATAACGTGTAACATTTCGACAGCATAAGAACGATTAAAGTTTGCTAGTGTGATATTATGGTTATAATGAAAATAAACTGCATTATCTGCATTGCTCGCCATAACGAGTCGCTGCATTATCGTACGTCGTATTTTTGGATGTATTTTTGACGATATGATATAATGAGTCGATGCAAGAGTCACGCTTTATCCTGGAAGAAGCTGATGATCTCCATTAGTACCTCAATCAATTCAATCAAAAGCAGATTACTGTTCAGTATTTTTGTATATTGTTGCAAACATAGGATTACATGTTGTACATCAATTAAAATTTTAATTGCATAAGCAGAATCTATTGTTACTTAAGAAACGCTTCAATATTCTCCACTACGATAAGTCGAATGTAAAATCTGTCATTTTTGGTAGCAGGGAAAGTAATTTTTATCCTGCACTGCTTCTAAATTAGGTAGAATAATCCTGATTGCCGTTACTACGCTAAAATTGAGCACTTTATTGTTTCTAGTTGATCCAAATACTGTATAACTTCATCGCTGTCCTGTCCGCTGTCACCCCAATATTGACGAACAGGGTGAAATCCTTGAAAGACTTTTTATTTGCTTCACTGGCATTCCCTTTCGGAATGGTAAGTGTGACTTATTTTAAGTCTTAATTTATAATTGCTTTTATCACATTTTGTGTAGCTATTTACGTAGACTACTAGATATGCTTTCGGTAGATACAATCTTTATGAGTATATGCATTAGCAAATCTTATCTGAAAATCAGAATATAAGAATAGCTACGATCATGATATTTGTATCTATAATCTCTCCTTTATATCATCAAAGCTCGGATTATGTAGAAAGAGTTGTACGATTATCATTGCTACATGTTGTAGGATTACAGTATACAGACTCCAGAAATTTTAGCTGTTACGTACGTTTCTCAAACAGTTATAAGATATTCTACGGTATGCATAGGAGCTGGTGATGGAATTATGATAAACACCATAAATAAAAATGAAATATAAAATATGTGTAGTCATCTACTTTAATCATCTACTAGCAGAAAATTGCAACTAAGAAGCTTTTAAATAATTGCAATTCTAGCTCGTTTCGTCCATGTTTTGGATATTATACTGCTTGGAACCAGACTTCGTTTATCCTTTGGCTGAGAGAAAAATTGTCCCTGTAGCGTTGAATCATATTTGGGTAAGAATAATTTGAGTGTACTCTGTAATCATTCGTATATAAGATATACCTCTGATACTCGAAAAATATCCATACAATTTCACTAATGAATATTTTATATTTAATAGCATACCTTAGTATTTATTAGTCCTATGCTCGATGTACTACTTTATGAGCATAAATATCCTTCAAGGATCTATGGGCACTTTTGCTTAGCAACTTTTGCATTACTCTATATTGGATGGTGAGCAATTATCAAATGTGATATAGGTTTTTATAACCTCAATGCATTTTAAATGATGCCATTATTCAATAGTCTAAGGTTTTAACATCAGCTTTTATATTTTATATTTACAGCATCTTTTGGATAGCTCATGTTGCTAAAGTATGGATATACGGAGTATTAGAGACTATGTCTGCGCCAATGGTCGTTGTTTTCTGTTTAGTGCTCGTTTTAGTAACGATTCTATTATATGAATTTGGATACTGGCTGGAACGAAGGAAGAAACGGGTATTGGTAGTCTTTACGACATGTCATCAGTATTAATAATACAATTAATGTAGATACCTATGGTTAAGTAGTTTTTCATAGCAAAATATAGCGAAAATTATTGGTCATTTTCGAGTAATTGAGCATCGTCATCACTACAAATTATATGATCTTGAATAGTTTTATTTTTTATATGATTACAGACGCTAAAGTTAAATTAGTTAGCAAATGTTTCTTAAGAAAAACTTATGGTCTATGATGGATTGTAAAGACACTCAGGAATGAAGTTTACAGAGAATCGCTTTGATAACGTTGAATACTTCAAAAATTTGAGATTTTAGTCCTAAAGTGATAGTAATTCAAATCGATTAGATCGTTTCAGGCATCCCCTGCGAATCTAATATACTAACCGTCTGCAACTTCTGACTCGCAAACAAACTTTAAATTTATCAGGAAGAGGCTACTGAGTTTGAGCCTCAAGAGTCAAGATATGATTTAATTTGTTATTGAATTAACTAGATATTTCAGTTTTAAAGAAACTAGGATCCTAAGACATTGAACATGATTAAGTTCAAATCTTTGGTACTAATAAAATAATCTATCGTCGTTTACTATTGATAATTAATTATCATCAAAGAATATCCAGCTAGTGTATTCATACTGAATGCTGTCTTTAGGTTCCTATTCCAGATATCCATCTATTTGCTCAAATATATTATTGGGAGAAAAAATAGTATTCTGCATTTTGTTTTACGAAATTTAAGATCAGATAATTTTGTATATCCTTTACGTAACGTATAGCAAGTTATTTATTGTATAGTATAGTTATCTCAGTGTGTTGGTTACTCTTCAGTATTTTATGATATAATATGGTTGAAGTTAAATTAAATATTAACTACAAAAATAAAGGTGAAATAACATTTATTAAAATTAACATTAAATTTCTGTTTAAATTTTTGAGGCAGTGAATGATTTATGACAGCAAACATGAATGAACGTGATTAGATCTAGTCACTGCGGTATTTTACTAATCTGTCAATTGGAATCACAACGACAGCATATCAATTATTACATAGCATTATCTTAATACCACAGTGCATGTACGATATTTCTGCAAAGTAACACACTCTGAGAGTATAATTTCGATATTTATAGCACTAAGTTTTAACATCGTGCACGGTGGTAATTTATACTACCTCATTTATAGTAACACACTTGCAAATCTGACGGTTTACAAAATGTCTGGTATCTATTTACATACTTTATAACCTTCCACTATAAGTGCTGTAGATTCGCTTTTTACAACATTAGATCAAAATATTACAACTATAATTAGTGAAACCATGCTAGTTTTTAACATTTTAACATTAACAATACGTGCAACAGTAGACTCAACGTATTACGTTTTGTTAGCCTCTGCTACTATGTTGTCACAACGTCGTTTGCAACAATCGGATTCCCGTTCCACACTTATCCTACTCTCCTCTGTCCTACCGTAAAACTGCCACCAGGCGTCACTACTCGCTCTACTTCAGCGAAGGACCTCAGTCAACAGTAAAGGCGGACTAGAAGCGTCTGGATAAATTTACTAAACTAACTTTATTAGGTCTCCGTATTTTCCTCCTCTCTAGCGAGGTAAATTACAACCTCTTATATACTTGTATCAAATCTACACCTTTTCCACCTGTTAATTATTCTTATGCATAACTTAGTCTTTTCTATAACTTTGTAATCCTATTAATTAGTATCGAAAAAATATGTGATAATTGATATTATTATGCACTAATAATATTATAGCGCCAATTAACAATTTAAGATCTAACAGATTCCCTACAAGTGTGACAACCGCCATTTTGGTTATTACACGTCATTGGCATATTAAGTATCTTACTTCTACACATTTGTTAATGGAAGTCCATTAACGATTGAATCTCACAATATTAATAGATCATAATATTTATGATTATCTAATCGTAACCGTCTATTTCTTCTTCAATAACATTATCACATAATATCTTAAACCGTAACATATGTACAAAAGCAATTTGGATATGGCCAAGTTAGGACTTAATTGGATAACATAGCATACATGTGATCATATGCTTAGCTTATGAAAGTAATTTAGCTGATTTGGCTTTCTTTTTGTACGATAAATTAGACATACATAAGCATTCATTATTAATGATTAAAATAGTCCATATTCAAATACCACTATGTAGTGGAATAATGGTTACTGAACATTTTTACGTCAAAAGACAAGATTAGACGATCAGAAATCTACTAGATGTTAGAGTATTAAACTTATGTAGGTAATAAATCGCTGTATAATTAATTTAGAATAATAATTATAGCTCAAAGAATATATGCTCTTATATTTACAAAAATTCATTACAGTATTAGTTACCGCTTCCTACCTCCATGCTGTGATGAATGCCTAATAGAATCAACATACTATAGCACATAGTCGACGTTTTAATGCGCACAGCAATAAGCTAACTGTAGCACCCCAATTATAAACTAATTGCCTGGGTGCAAATTCATAGGTAGCACATTTTGTTCATTTTATCCCAAGTAATTGTAAACTGTCTAACAATTTGAGTATACGTATACTATTGGTAAGGGTAATTTCTCATAACGTACAAGTAACAGTAAAATTAGTAAGGATACTCGCGTATAGTAGCTTACGGATAGACATCTATACCCGTATGGTATCACGAGATTCAAACAATATAATGATCCATGCGAAAATATGTGAGAAAATTATTGGGGCATGGAGAAGTCTATGATTGGATATCATGAATAAAATCACACCATAGCTGCTATAGCTTAAAAAAAGTGATCTATTACTTATTAATTAATAATCTAAAAGTATGCATTATAATTATTAAAGTTTGTAAGAATGTATTGTATATATGCCATACGCAGGAAAATAAAACTGTAAACTTTACTAAATTATATTTACAAAACATGATTTGCTTTCAGTTAATGCTGACAATGTTAGAAAATTTATAAAGCTAACGATAGGTTAAAACATATCTATTCTACCAAATATTTTTATGGTAATAAAGTAGCTAGATTGATTCGTTGCTGTAAATACTAGATGTAAGTGGGGCTATCGACACTATGTAATTAAACTAAATTAATACTGTAGCCTCGAGTTCGTAGAGGCTATTATCGCGATGGACTATGGATCAAAGTACATATTTACTGCACTAATAATATTTACTGTTGCATCATGTGTATGATTTAATGTTATTATACTATTCATAAGGGCAAACTTTGAATAACACAGCTATTGAATGAAATGATAAGCAACATAGTAGGCTAATTAAATATTTAATAACCACGAGTAAAAACAGATAGCTTAATCATTAATAATAATAGTTAACCTTTCTCGGTCAAATGAGGGTTGTAGGGTGTGATGCTTGCATATTATATTTTATTATACAGTTAAAGGCGGTTAATTATAATATATGCATACATTTGTATTATTTACAGACTGCAGAGTAGCGAATATCTATTTATTATTGGTAATAACTTTGATACGAAACCTTAAATACTATTAAATATCTTACTTATGGTACAAAAAATAATATCTATTGGCGGTATTACCAAAGTATATACTGTTGAAGATCTTTTCTATCGTCTAGGACGACGAACGAAACATTTTTTCCTTAATCGATAATCAATATTAGGAGGCTACTAAACCAGAAATGAGTCTATTATCATTATCCTTCCACTCAACTTTATTGTTCCTGTATACTTATGCAACATGGTACGATCTCAACTTTATACCCCTATTAGGAGTTAAGAAAATGTATGCAGGCAGATGGAAATACTTGACTCAATGGTGCATGGTAATAAAGTTAGCTTCTCTTTATAAACTAAGTAAATGGACGCAATCCATTCGATTACATGCGTAGTAATTTGATTTAAACTGATCAGAGAAGGATGATCTACCTTAACAATAATTCTTTAAATATGATGACGTTTCGGCATTAAAATATAATTTTTTAATATCGATTTAAGATCTAACTTGGATAAAAGTGCAACTTGTCTAGGCTGTAGCTTATTTGGTCTAAAACTTCTTGATTATCATATTGTAGGTCATACAACTAAACTATCAAGCTCTCTGCGTTATAAGTTATCTCTATTCGAACAGCAAGAATATTACTAAATTCAAGAAAATAAGAGAGTATGTATTTTCTGTTCTGGCTTTCCCTGTCAGCATTGTAAGTCAATGGCATTTTATTACTACTTGAGAGCTGAAAGAATAAGGTTTTACTACTATCTTAATTGATTGTCAATTTACTACAATGACCTAACTGGATAGTTAGCATACTAGGCAACAGCATAAGCTAGGGTATTCAAGCAGTAGCACATTATAACTTAAAAGTAGTGGTTAAGAGTCCAAGTGTTGATAGCTTCGTACCAATAGATCTGCTTTTACATGATGCTTAAAAAAATAGTTTTAAGGCTCCATCAAATCAGAAGGTGAAAAGTTATTAACTTCGATACTTTAGATTTAGTTATGATCAACCTATCTGTATCCATTTCAGTATAATATAAAAGTACCTTGAGCTTAATACTTTAACTTAATTTTTTCAACGCTATTTTTAACACAGATCATATTATAGCTCTACAAACATACATTTACACGTATATATTATAATCGATTGATTGTAGAGGTAAATATATGACAGTACTGAACTATTATTGTACTCGAATATGTAGCTATTGCATTCTCTTATAGAGTATTTTAAAGCTGCTGATAATTCATATTAGCAAATTATATGTTAAAAATTTAATTTGCTCTGTGACTTATTTTGTAGATAGTGACTGCTACCTTTTGGATTTTATATATAAAAAACCCGAATAACGTCCGAGAAAAAATGTACGAAAATATTATACCACCTCACATTAATCATTTATTTGTAAGTATGAATGATTATAGTAGATAAAATTATTTTATTTTCTGTTACCCTTGCATTAATTACGCATAATATTTCATAATTGTTAGCATACCGTCATCGCTATTGCCAATATTCTCGATTTATTAATGCACCACCACGATTATCCTGTAAGAAGAAACAGCTATGTTGGGATGGCTTTGTTTTCGCTATCATTTATAACCTGGTTAGTGCTGAAGACTTTAGTCGTAATAATATATATATCTATACGAGTATGATATCTACTTGGTGTCATCTACAAATCACAATACAATATATACATCTACTATCTATTTCTGTAGGACAATATGGATCAAATATAGAGCTAATATTTGGGCCTATAAAATATTGCATAAGATCCCGACACCAATTTTACCAGCTTTCTTTATGAGCTTTCTTTTTATGCATTTCGGGCTCTACGAACTTGAATTATGGGTAAAATCAAAGCAGACAGCAACTAATAAGCTGAAAAATAAAATGAACTAGATTTTATTAAATATTGCAACCCGAAAGATTATAATTAACGTGAAATATCTTATCGTTCAACTTTATTACCTCACTAAAATCGGAAAGCATTTGTCAACATTTATGTAGATAATAGTGGATGCCGTTGCTTATAATCTCACTCTAGTAATTTTAGTTTAGCATAATAGTTCGTAGAATCGCTATCTAAAAGGAATCGATAATAATTTATTACATCTGTCAAATAGATTCTTATAATCTATCGAATTAGCTTAAACTAAATGGAAATGTATTGTTTACGTAAGTTAGATAGATACTAACAGACAAGACTACTTTAATAATTTTAATTTAAAAGATTTAGTACAACGATTCGTAGATAATCATAAGGAATGTGTAGAGAATTTATACTGTCTTTCAAATAGATTTTTGTAATCTATCGAATTAATTGCGTTATTTTTTATTATATTATTATTCCAGTCATCTAATGATTAACAATGGATTATATTGAATGGATATGTAAGAGATGTACTAATCAAAGTTATGGACAGTCTCAGTTTAACAATGTA